TTTTATCTTAAAAAAAAAACAAAATACAACTATTTTTTATTTGACTTCAGGAAGCGTTTGTTGTACCGGACTTTCTCGAATTGGACTAAGTTAGACTGACTTGACTTAGACTAAGCTGGATAAGAATAGTGGAGTGTTTAGAGTTCAAAACTTCTTTTGTCATTCATTAATTCATTTTACTATTATTAATACACCTTTTTTATCTTAAAAAAAAAAACAAAAATACAACTATTTTTATTTGACTCTCTCTCTCCCCCCCCCCCTCCGTCTCTCTCCCCTGTCTCTCTTTTCTTCATTCATTTGCTTTGGTTCTTCACGCCCAGATTCACTCTCAGTAAAACTCAAACCAGAAAATATAAAACCCACATTTTTCCTTCTTTGCATTTGCTTTCTCTTGAATTCAAACCTATATTTTTCTTCTTTTAATTTACTTACTTTCTCTTCAAATCAAACCCAGAAAAATCCCCAATTTTTTTTTTTCAATTTGCAGAGGCTTCGTCGGATCGTCGGATCTGCAAATTCATTTCAATCGACCTCTCCAAATCAACGTCAATCGATCTTGCAGAAGAAAGAGACAAACTTGCTGGCACATCTTCTCTTGGCAAACTCGAGTAGGGCGTGACAGTTGGTGCGGGATTTGGAAGAAGAAGCAAGTTGAGGAAGACAAAGACAAAGTGAGTTGAGGAAGACGAAGACCAAGCAAACGAAGCGAAGCGATGGTCTTAGGAATCCCATCCTTTTTGGGCGGTCTCGCTAAGACCGGTTAGTGAAGAGTTTAGTCGGCATGAGTCCGACGTAGTCCCATTAAACACAATCCTGGCTCGCACCAAACACGGGATTAATATTCTTAGTAAGCCAGTCCAATCCAGTGATACTTAGTGAGTGCAAACAAACACGCCCTAATAGTTGTCATAGAGAAAAATAAGTTTTGTTATTGATGGATGGTGATTTTGAAGTTTTGAATCCTCCAACCAAGTTATGATTCAATTTATAAATTTTTTGTTCGTTTGATTTCAATTTATGAATTGGCAAACCATGAGTTGCAATTAGAAAACCATGATCTGACTTCGATACGATCAACAATTTCATTAGCCTTAATTGCAATTAGAAAACTATACGATTCTGCTTGTTTATCCTACGTTTATTCTAGCTAAAACCCTAATAGTTGTCATAGAGAAAAATAAGTTTTGTTATTGATGGATGGTGATTTTGAAGTTTTGAATCCTCCAACCAAGTTATGATTCAATTTATAAATTTTTTGTTCGTTTGATTTCAATTTATGAATTGGCAAACCATGAGTTGCAATTAGAAAACCATGATCTGACTTCGATACGATCAACAATTTCATTAGCCTTAATTGCAATTAGAAAACTATACGATTCTGCTTGTTTATCCTACGTTTATTCTAGCTAAAACCCTAAGAGTGCGTTTGTTGCATCGGACTGTCCCGGACTGGACTAGCTGCATGGACTAAGCTGGACTGGCTTAGACTAGACTAAGCTGGACTAGCTTAGTGAAGCGTTTGATGCAGTGTCGGACTAAGAAGCAGGATAATTAAAAAAGTACTGTTACCAATTTGATGTTTGCTTATATTATGACTACATTATTGTTCTATTTTAATTACTTTTTATATTAAAGATATTATTAAAATTAATAATATTGGATTAGAGTGAGACTCAATAAAAATATAAAAACCAAATATTCTTGCCAATGAAAGAAACATACATGATTCAGGAAGCGTTTGTTGTACCGGACTTTCTCGAATTGGACTAAGTTAGACTGACTTGACTTAGACTAAGCTGGATAAGAATAGTGGAGTGTTTAGAGTTCAAAACTTCTTTTTGTCATTCATTAATTCATTTTACTATTATTAATACACCTTTTTTATCTTAAAAAAAAAACAAAATACAACTATTTTTATTTGACTTCAGGAAGCGTTTGTTGTACCGGACTTTCTCGAATTGGACTAAGTTAGACTGACTTGACTTAGACTAAGCTGGATAAGAATAGTGGAGTGTTTAGAGTTCAAAACTTCTTTTGTCATTCATTAATTCATTTTACTATTATTAATACACCTTTTTTATCTTAAAAAAAAAACAAAATACAACTATTTTTATTTGACTCTCTCTCTCCCCCCCCCCCCCCCCCCCGTCTCTCTCCCCTGTCTCTCTTTTCTTCATTCATTTGCTTTGGTTCTTCACGCCCAGATTCACTCTCAGTAAAACTCAAACCAGAAAATATAAAACCCACATTTTTCCTTCTTTGCATTTGCTTTCTCTTGAATTCAAACCTATATTTTTCTTCTTTTAATTTACTTACTTTCTCTTCAAATCAAACCCAGAAAAATCCCCAATTTTTTTTTTCAATTTGCAGAGGCTTCGTCGGATCGTCGGATCTGCAAATTCATTTCAATCGACCTCTCCAAATCAACGTCAATCGATCTTGCAGAAGAAAGAGACAAACTTGCTGGCGCATCTTCTCTTGGCAAACTCGAGTAGGGCGTGACAGTTGGTGCGGGATTTGGAAGAAGAAGCAAGTTGAGGAAGACAAAGACAAAGTGAGTTGAGGAAGACGAAGACCAAGCAAACGAAGCGAAGCGATGGTCTTAGGAATCCCATCCTTTTTGGGCGGTCTCGCTAAGACCGGTTAGTGAAGAGTTTAGTCGGCACGAGTCCGACGTAGTCCCATTAAACACAATCCTGGCTCGCACCAAACACGGGATTAATATTCTTAGTAAGCCAGTCCAATCCAGTGATACTTAGTGAGTGCAAACAAACACGCCCTAATAGTTGTCATAGAGAAAAATAAGTTTTGTTATTGATGGATGGTGATTTTGAAGTTTTGAATCCTCCAACCAAGTTATGATTCAATTTATAAATTTTTTGTTCGTTTGATTTCAATTTATGAATTGGCAAACCATGAGTTGCAATTAGAAAACCATGATCTGACTTCGATACGATCAACAATTTCATTAGCCTTAATTGCAATTAGAAAACTATACGATTCTGCTCAACCTTGGTTGTTTCCAGTTTCTCTCATTGTCAATTCCGGCATCTAGAAATGACTGAAGAGTACGGGAAGGACAACTTAATCACACAAAGTGAAGCCTTTCTCAATCAAGTAGTTCTTTGACATTGCAAGGACTCTCTAAAGGCACTTCAAACTTGTGATGACACTCTCCCTTATGCTGAAGAACTCAACATTCCAAAAAGGTGCATGGAATCACTTGCCACAAAAGCATCTACTGATCCTAATTTGTTTGGGTGGCCTGTCAAGGAGCATGGCGGCCCCATGCAAAGTCCTGGTGGGAGTGTCCTGTGGAATGGATTAAGTACGGGGGCCAGACTAAAGAAATCAAGTTCAGTTTACAGGAGGAGCTTCCTCCCATCAAATTTAGCTTCTAAAAATCAAATGAGTGTAAAAATAAATTCACATATTGAATTGGGTTTATGTGGGTATATTAGGTATTAAATTTGGGTTTAAAAAGATATTAATAGTTTAGTTAAAAATCAAATGGGTGCAAAGAGTAAGTTGGATGTAGAAATAGGTTAGATGAGTTTAAATAAAATTTCCCTTTATACTATTCCTCTAATAATGATGAGTCATTTGAATCGATGGGTCCTACCTCTATTAGAGAGATGATACAAATAAATCATAAGTTTTTCTTTTTGGTTTATTATAAGTTTAGCACCATTGTTTCATCAATAGCATTATGAACTCCATTGGCTCCACATTTTTCTTTTCAAATGCTAAGCAATTCCGAGACTTCCAAATTCTCCACAAGCCAAATACCACCCATTTTAGATCTCTCCAGATCTTCCTCTTTTTCATAATGGTCTATGAGCCATTCCCAACATTCAAAAAAATCACCTCCCTACACCAAGGTAGAATCTCATTGAATAGGTGCCCCAAACCAAAAGATCCGTGCAAACGGGTATTGAAAGAACATTTGACGTTGGGTTTCATCTGCAACACCACAAGTCAGGCAAGTAGTAGCAAGACGAATACCTCGATGTTGAAGATTCATTTTAACCGCCAAAATATCTTTACAACCCATCCAAATGAAATGTCGTAGTTTATTTGGGACATCCAACTTCTATATGTTTGACCATATCTTACTCCGGTCTTGTCCCACACTCGACTTCCCCCCGACCTTTTCGTCCAACCCTTTTCCCACTTGGATTTGTAAACCCTTAATCCCTAATTTACTCTCTCTTTAATCCTTTTGGATTAAATTAAAACACGGATCTGGGTGGGCCTGACAATTTCTGACACGACCTATTAACCCGACACGAAACGACACAAAATTAATAGGTTTTTTGGTCGACACGATAAGGAATCAGGTCGTTATCTAGTAACCCGATAAGCACCTACTAAGATAACGGATCAATCCAGTTATACACGTGAGTAACCCGTTACATGATAAGAAAATATTAATTTAATAATTTTATACATCTAAAAATAAAACTATAACTAACAGCAGGATAACAAATTGAAAGTTCAAATATAAATACATCTATATATATTAAATTTAGAAAATTGATGATCGTTGGATCTCGACCGTCTAATGTTTTTCTTAGCCCTAAGTCAAACTCTCTCTCGAACTGAACTCTCGAATCTCAATGTCAAACCTCAACTCCGACCAGCCACAAATCTACAACCACCCTCTCCGATCTCCCTCCATCACACCACTGTCACCACATACAACCTAGTAACCCACCACCAGCTGATCTGCTACTTTTATCTCTGATTCTCTCTTTGGATCGAGCGAATCTTCTTAAGACATTTTGTGGCAATGTTAAGATATTTTAAAGCAATATTTATGTGAAAATGTGGCTGTGCAAATTTTTAAAACAAATTTTCAAACCAAATGATATATCACCGATAAGAAATTAACACTTAAGTAATAATCTAATCATCAACTGGCACATCAATTGGTTTAAAAAATTAGTTTAAAAATTTGGTCTCCCTAACATTATCCAAATCTAATACAACTTCCGTTCACAAGCCTGCAAATACCTTCCAGTTCAAGGCAATAAATTAGCAACCAAAGTTAAGAGAAACCAAAATAAGATCAAACCTCATATATTTCTTTTTCTCATAACAAGTAAAAAACCTTCCCTGTTTATATGTCTCTAATTTGTATCCCTTTAGGAATAGAGGCTAAACCTACAGAGAAAAAGATACACAAGACAAAGCACCTCCTCATCATCTGTACTCTTGTGGCAAGCGATATCCCGGCATTACGACCTTGTCAGCGAACATTTTGCCCGTCTTGGGCATGACGTGCCAGTGCAATGTCAAGTTGAATTCTTTACCCCGGAGATTGGTTCCCTACACAAAGATGAATTACAAAGAGAGTCAGTTATCGATGGAGCCAAGAAACTACAACAGATCTTAGTCTCTGATGAAGCCAAGAAACAGATGCAAAGAATGAAAGAGACTGCTCGTACCTGATCAATGAAGCGGTACTTGTTTGAAGTATGAATCCAAAACTTGGCATGTTCTTTGGTTGGTAAGATACCATCCCAAAGAGAGATCTGTAAAATAGTGTTAAAACTTTAAGCAAAGACTTATTTAAGCAATAACTAAAGCACTGTGCAGCCTACAAGCCCTAGAAGATACTATAGAGTGGATATGCGGATCCGAGGGACACATACAAGCAAAATAAATGGAAGAACAGTTATTCAGTGAAAGAGAAGAGTTGTTAATCTCAATTTTTTACCTTAAGAAAAGCAAAATCGAAACATATAACTAACCAGAAATATAACTTGAAACATATATGTGCAGATACCTGATTCAGTGAGTTCTTTGGGGTTCCATACTCAGCGGCTAGAAAAACAAAAACCTGTCATGTATTGCAGATAAAGTAAAAGGGATCAGGGTACTGGCTGGAAAATAAAGAGACCGAATTTTCTAATTGTGGTATGCACAACTTAAATTTCACCAGACCCTATAAAATAAAGGAAAACTAATGAAAAGGGTTTGAAAACTTTGAGTTTTAATGATAAGGACAAAATAAAGGGTAAAGTGAATAGTACCAGAATTGACTTTTTAGTGTAAAAATGTGGTTTTTCGTTAAAGTGAACAGTACCGGGTGCTTTTCATTAAAGTTCCCATAAAATAATGCAGTCAACCATGCCAACAAAAACCGTTTCTCAACACAAATGGTAGGTTTTGAATTTTGGTTGGTGCTTCTAGTCCTATGCATGATAGTTGCCATCACTCTCTAAAAAATCATTATCATAGAGTTCCGCACAGTGTACCCAAAGACTACTTAACGCATGCACAGAATATACTAAAATAATTTAAGTGATCATGAATGCTAACACATACACACACAAATTTGTGAAATTGCAAACCTGCTTTGTATTCCATGTAAACAATGACTGCAAGTCTGCTGATATATTCATAGTCATGCTGACCTGCATAAAACGAAAATCATTTTAGTTCATACCAAACTGTGATTCATTCGTACACATAATCTTCCTTTTTCAATCACCCAACTATCATGGTCACTATAAATCAAAGAAGCAAATCCGAAGTTCATGATTCAAAGTGTAACCAACGGAAATAGGACAACAGTTCAAGAACCTAGGGAGCAGTTGAATTGCTGCCAGTCAGTTTACTATAACTTTCAGCTCTAGCAAATGCCCTCGTATTTTATTTTACCTGCTTTCCTATTGGTAGAGGAATCACTTAAATAAATATTGTGAGCTCAGCTCATGCCCTGTAGACGTGTAACTATCTGTCAGTACTCTGAGGTTGCACCCAATCTCTAGACCCACCCCAGCCCAGATAAATAAACCTTAATATTAACTACGCAAATAGAATGTTATACCTTATCTACTTAAAAGTTCAAGCCAAAATTGGGAAAGAGAAATGTTAGGCGTCAACACGGAAACAATCCCGTCCCAATTGGAATGATCCCACTCTGTTCTCTTATATCCCGTCCCAAACCTCAACACGGAAACTACCACCTATAATTTGACTATAGGCCTCCATTTTGACTGAGGAGCATACCAAAATACCACACTTTTACAAGTTTTTAAGACAGTGATACAACTACTTAATCAGTAATTTAGTTATAAACCCATAAGCCAATGGGCTCGCACCAACATGTCAGAAAGGGGTGATTAAACTCTCTACGGATCCTAATACTACCGTTGTATTAACCCAACCTTCAATTCACAAAATGCATACCTAGATCAAATTCACATATCATGTACTGAAACTAAAACACAAAACCAGGAAATTTAGCACCGAAACCTGCATACCCACACACAACCTACACACACACAGCACATGCCCATGAAAATTTGATACAGAAAATAAACACAAAAGCCCAAAGTACCAATCTTTAAACTGGATTAATCAAATACTATCCAGAGACTCAGTATAATCGAAATTCAGTGAACACCCATTTCAGCCAATAAAAAATTGAATTCAAATTCAAAGAAATTTCACATATAACCCAAAAACTACAAATCCAATTATTAAAAAAAAAAAAATTGAAAGAAATGCACCTCGTCGTTCCCGTTCAGTTGCTTCTGCAACCAATTAATATTCAGCACCTAGAGAAAAACCCAACAAGCATATCAGAAACAAAATCCAACTGGGTATTTAAATTCGAACCCAAAAATCAAAATTTTTTGAAATCGTAGATCTGCCCCACAGAGAGAGCGAGAGAACCTGGACTTGCGTAGTGGGAGTGGGGTGGTTGAGATTATCGGAGATGGAGGCCATGGCGCACATCAGTGCCAAAATTGTAACTGCGAAGGTCAGCAGAGCATTGGCTCTGTACCCGAACGAATGCATTTTCCTACCTTCTTTCTTTATTTCTGGGATTTTTTTTTCTTGGATTTCTGCTTCGTCTGGTTTTGGTCCGAGAAAGAAAAATGTGTGCGCTTTTTGTGGGTTTTGAAGAGACGAAGACTTCAGAGGTCTTTATAATAAAACACATGTAGAGATCAGAGAGAATGTGAACTTTTGCTATACCGCTCAGTCATTGGACAAGACACGTCGGTGGGGCCCATTGTCTTCTAATAAATTAAGAATTTTAACGAAAACTTCTGTTAATGTTTACGAAAAATCATATTTTTACATTAAAAAATCAATATTAGTACTATTCATTTTACTTTTTATTTTATCCTTATCGTTAAAATTTAAAGTTTTTAATCTATTTTAATTAATTTTCCTTAATAAATTAACACATGTTTTATTGTTTTGAAAAGTAAGAAATACGTCATTAATTTTGTCCAATAATAAATTAAAACATGTTTTATTGTTTTGAAAAGTAAGGAATATGTGACTTTTTTTTTATTAGGTCAAATTCGAAAGTGAGTGTATAAAATATTCACAAATCAGTACCTAAGTATTATCTAATATTGCGTTCATATACCATTGATACTGAGAGACAGTAAAATTGAACTCCAACCTCAGACCTAGAAGTAATGTTCTTAATTAATTGAGCTAAAAGTACTATGCAAATAATATGAGAATGAAAAATAAATACTAAATTCTAAAATTTGAATTTTGCTCATAAAAACATTTGAATTAACTGTAAAAATATTATATTATACTCGCCCTCCTCATAAAATTACAAGGTAGAACTGTATTTTCAAAGAATACATGTTTTTACTAATAACTCAGTTTTCTTTGCGTTATGGAGGAGTGCATGATGATGGTTTTATTTATATTGAAGTAAGTAAATCGAACCTTAAAGCTTATCTTATTTTTGTATATTTATGTTTATTTTTATCTCTTAATAGTTTTAAATTTATTTGATTTAAAGATAAAGAGGAAAATAATAATAGAAAAAAAAAAAGAAGAAGAAGAAAATTAATGAAAATGGCTTGAAAACTTTGAGTTTTAATCAAAAGGACAAAAATGTGTTGTAAGTGAATAGTACCAGAAGTGACTTTTTAGAATAAAAATGTTCTTTTCGTTAAAAAAGAACAGTACCATGAGTGTTTCGTTAAAACTTCCAAAAAATAAAGAATAACAAGGCTCTTTGGGCTCTTCAAGTGAAGGCTGCCCTTAACTGGCTTACAAAAATGATATATAGCCCAACAACAAACTTAACCAGAGACAAGCCTAGGCCTGGCAAACACCATACACTTGATTTTGTTCTAGGTGAACAACGTTATGGACCCAGAGACAAGAGTGTAGAGTTAAAACACTACCTGGTGCTATAACCTTCGTCACCACAAAAAGACGTATATAGTGTTAAACAATGTGGCACTGTAATCGTTGTCACACTAAAAAATTGTTGTCGTCACACCAAAAAGGGCCTAGGGTATATAGTGTTAAACAATGTGTCATTGTAATTGTCGTCATCACAAGAGAAAATTGTTGTTTCTTTTTATGTTGGAATGATATTTTTAATCTAATTTATACTGGAGAAAGATAGATTCAAATTTGAGTGTAAAAAAAGGAGCACACTACTATTTGCAACTTGACGTCAACAATCTTTCAATCCGGAAAATTGTTAGAAATATGAAATTGGAGTTTGAATCCATCTAAGAATACCAAGCATGAATGAGTTTGAGTTGGTACCAAGAAGAAGACATGAACAAATAATTAACAAAGTTTTATTTATCCAGTCCCTTAATATAGACGAGACTGCGTACACCAAAGCACAAAGCTTCACATTTTACATAGACTTTATTTGATCAACATACACAAACACCCTCAGATAGATCACCTCTCACAAGGGAGATCATAATTTATGGCTCATCGGTGGATTCAGTAGATTCTTCAGCACCAGTGGAGGATTTGCCAAAGTTGAAGTTGGAACAACTAGTCCTGCGGGACAACAACGAAGAGCTAAATCCCAACCTTGAGTTCGTCAAATCAAACTGCAGCAGATTATCCTCCAACTGGAGTGCTCCGATCACGATCGAAGCCTGAGGCCTCAACCCACCGTCCACAAACCCTAGACACGCCACGTTGGGACTTGGCTGAACGATAACGTTATGACCATACAGCCTCCAGATGTTCCGGTTGTTGTCTAGAACAAGGTCTATGCTAGAAACCGTAAGCGCTGCCTTGTTGCTGGCAAATTTCTTCGCATCGAAACACACCCCGAATGGCGCCATGGGCTTCACTTGGGGTACCCCTTGGAGCTGATTGATGAGGAGCTGAGTGACTGCCCTAAAGATAGAGGTTTGGAGGATTGTGTAGGGAGTTGTGGTGCTGATCATTGTCCCACCAACCCCTCGTTTTGGTGAGTAGGGCAAGAGAGAGGTGTTGAGTGGAACCACCTTGTTGTTGATTTTGATGGATTGAACGTTTATGTAGTACTCTCCTTGCCTGCCTATGGTCAGTGGGGTGTAGGTCAACTTGCGCGACACGTCGATGCCCCGGTTCATGAGATAGGGTCCTTCCCCGAAGAAATGACGCCATTCTGGCCAGGTGCAGAAGGGAGGCACACGGCAAATTTTGCTGGAAAGCCAAAGTGGGAGGCTAGTTGGTAGGGTAGGGAAATTGAGGAGTGGCCTAGGCCAGCAAAACCTTGAACATTTTTGGGTAGCCCTTTTTGCATAATATTTGAAGGTGCACATGCAAAGAGGAATTGAGGGACTTGGACCATTGGGCCAGGGCTCGAGCCTTGGGTTGATGGGATTGAGAGGACATCTTGAGCAAGCTCACCCATGGCGCTTTGGCGCGTCACAGGGTTTGTGGTCATGAGCCCACACGCGTTGGAGTGGCACCCTAGTCGGGTTCTAGACGAGCTGCATGTGCGGCATGTCATCTGGCTATTAGGATTGGCTCTAGCACACTGTGTTGAGTGGCAAACGGGAGCATTGTAGCCCGATGACAAGTACTGATTCTCACAATTGACTGATAAGAACCTCCCATTTAGGTCTATCACAAAGGGGAATTGGACTGGAGGGTTTCTTTTGTAAATTTGGGCCACATGAAGATTGGTTGCCCCATCTTTCTGCACCTTGAGGACAAGCTTATTTGGCTTGATGGGGATTTGGGGTCGGGTTTTTACTGTGGCCACAGACGTGAAAATGAGAAGGGAAAAGCAAGAGAAGAGTAGGAGCAAATTGGGAAGGAAAGAAGCCATGGATGGAATTGGAAACAAATTTTGAGTTGGAACGAAGAAGTTTTTGTATACCTAGAGGCTAGAGAGGAAACGTGGGAATTGGCAAAGAACGAGACAGAAGAGTTCGCAATTTATAGTGCGAGGGTTACTAATTTAGGGCAGGCTCTAGAGTGTGATGGACATGCATGTGGACATTTTAGGGTTTCAGCATTGAGTTCTTCTTTGATAGATTTTGGAAAACTTTTCCAGTTTATGTGACGTTACGAATGTGGGGAGGGGGTTCACATGTAAAGGGAAAGAGATGAGCATAAATCTTGACATGAAAACAAAGTCTTGGTGAGTGTGTAGGGGTACTTGGCACTTGGCAGTGAAGAGGCCTGTACCCAGCCATGCAAAAGCTTGTGCTTTAAGTAACAAACAAAAAAGTGTCACTGGGTTCTGGCTTCTACTTGACACCGCTATTAGTTTGACAGATTGAAACAAAAACAACCCTAATCATCTCTCTTAATTTGTTTAGGAGCATTGTTAACTGTTTATAAAGCAAGATTACATGCGCATGGCCAAACAGTAGTCGGTCCTAATTAACGGTAGTTGGTGCAGGGAGAAAGAGAGAAAGGGGAGAATTGTTAGTTGTTTAGGAGCATTGTTAAGTGTTTAGGAGCATAGGTTCGTTTCCGTACCTATTTTTATTGCTTTTTAGACTTAATTTTTGTGTCGTATTTTATGTTTTTCTTTGCTTTTCACTAATTTTGTTCAAATTTGTGTTCCCAAGCAATAACATTGAAATTAAAGCTAAAACAGAGTGTTTTAGGATTGAAAGACGTTTTCCACCCTGGAAGTAGAGGTTTGACGTGCAGATCAGTCAAGTTGGAAGATTAAATTGCACTTCCTCGGGACAAATCAAATATTGAACCTCATATGTGGAAAGCTCTAAATGTCTAGTTTGGAGAATTTTACAGTTTATGATTCAAGTTTTCTAGTAGACTTTATTGGTATTTTACCACAGATAACTCATAATGACGATTTCATGCAAATTTGCGAATATTGTCGAAATTTTAGAGATTTAGTAGCGTTCAAGGCACAAGTGGGGACACTACTTTAAAAGAGTATTTAGGTCTTCTAATCTAATCATTAAAGATAAAAGATACACAAAATTAAATCAACAGCTTAAATAAATGATGATTTTCTATAACACCAGCCGCGCGCGAGACAAGAATTGTTCTGGTACTCTCTGCTCTCGTTCTTCCGTCTCTTCTCAGTTTTTTCAAGCTTTTGATGAGTTTTTAGTTTGCTATTTTATTATTGCACATGAGTAGTTAAACTCTTTGTAGTTAGGGGTTAGTATGAAGCCCTAGACATGACTCTTTCTTCACTATAATATCTTTCCTGTTTGTGGATGAATGCTTACTTCACTATTATAATGAATGCATGTAACTTGTTTGTTTGATTGATCACCTTAGTAATCATTGTCTTCACAATCACTTCCGCTGCAAACTCTAGTCTTCTTTAGTTTATATCGCGAATCTTTTAGATAAACCTCTTAAAGAAATAGAAGGCCTAGTATATTGCGATGTGTGATATGATCAAAATTTTGCTTTTACAGATTCCAAATGAAAAACTGTTATCCTAAACAAAGTAATTACTTTGAATTTCATCAATCTTATTTAATTCTATAAACCTTTACAATTTAAAATATTGTATATACATTATAAATATCTTGCATTCTTAGCAATATATGCTATGTTAAGTTCTTGTGATAATATTCATATTCTCTTTACACATTGTGGATTATATTCGTTAAGGTTGCTTGACAGAATACAAGAAATGAGGTAAACGACATGCACTTTACACATTCTAGAGAGAATCGATATAACATAAGTTACATAACCTACATGTGATAGCTATGTTATGGATATCTTCGTTCTATTTATTGACAATTGTATCACATATATATGGCTTGGACACATAGTCCTGGTATCTTCACTGCTCATGGCCTTTTGTTACATCATTTAATGGGCTGCTACTCATCAAATTTCCCAGGTAACCAGTCAACTATTTTTTATTCAGTTGACTGATGTAGGTTTTTATTCAATAAGAAAATTACAGGTGCAGGATGTATAATTTCTCCTTTTTTTTTTTGTTAGATTGCATGCCGGTTCGATGGTTCGATTTGAACTAGGAATGCACTTATTAAATTGGATAACAATCCAACCTAATGTGCTTTACAAATTCTTCCTAGAGAAGGACTTAGGTGGAAAGAATTCACTGCTATCATTACGTTCCAAATCACTAATATAAATTCATGTGAAAAAAGTCTTACACCTAACCTAATGACTCGGAATATCGCTATGATAGTAAACTCCTTATGCAAAAGTCTATCTCGTATAGTAAACTCGTTACGCGAAAGTCTATCTCCTTCTACAAAGGCAAGACTTTATAGTACTGGCTTAAACTCAATCCAGCCACCAAGCATAGTATAATCTATTAATGGTCTATTTAGATGATAAAACGCTCATAAAACCCATCTCCTTGGTTTTTATTTTTTATTTTTATTTTTTTATGGAACCCATGTCCTTAGTTAGGTAGAGATTAGAGAACGACCTATACATATCTAATACCCCACCAAGCAAGAAAAATATTGATATGGCACAATTTTCTTTTAATATTGGTGTGCACTGATAGCTCTGTATATAAAATGCGAATAAAGTTGCGTTTTCCAAGCAAAAGACCTGATGAAAGTGGGTGGATACTGGTGAGGTGAGGGTATGGAAGTCAAGAGATGGTCCTAATAATTTGAACAGATAGAGATTGATCCTTTAAATATTTCCAAGTTGAATCCTACACGCGATGCATTTTGAATTCGAGAACCACTACGCAAAGCCGAACGCAATAATGCCTAAACAAATCATCAATGGCTATTCTAATTGGATGAGAAGGCTCAAACACGTCCCTGAAATTACAACACATCTACAATACAAACAAATTACAATTGTCGTAATCTATCGAGTTCATACGTGTTTGTACCCTAAAAAACTTCGAATCAGAAGTTAATAATTCACTCATTGAACAGGTTAAGCAATACCATTTACCAAGCTACAAAACTTACTCATTACCATTTACCAAGTAGCATAAGCAATGGTACTTCCATACTTTCAAACTATTTTCGGCTTAGCACCACAACACAATAATCCTACAAAAATAAGTAAAAACATAGCCTGAAACCCTAGAAATAACTTCTACATGATACTACAACCATTAGGGTTCTCATCACTGAAGTAGTTGGCATAAGGATCAGATGCAGGTCCTGACGGCATTGGCTGTTGGGGCATGTAGCTCATCGGCGGCGGCTGCTGGCGGGCGTACATCATCTGATGGTACATATCATTTCCACCGTTGGCTGCTGCTCTCTGTTGATTCATCATCATGGCCAAGTATTGTTGCTGCTGCTGATTATACGGGTTTCCGGGACCCATACCGCCTTGATAGTATCCTCCTCCGCCGTTCATCATTGCCTGTGCAGGCAGTCCTTGTACTGCAGGAAAATTACCCATCTGCCCCATTGGATAGCTACCCATTTGACCCATCTGACCCATCTGACCCATTTGAGGTCTCTGCCCCATCTGACCCATATTTCCCATATGACCCATTTGACCCATTTGACCCTTTTGACCCATTTGTCCGTTTTGGCCCATGTAACCCATTTGCCGCATATCCTCACCATCATCACCACCTTTGGCGCCTTTCCCTCCTTTGCCCTCTTTGGCTCCTTTTCCATTTTTGCCCTCCTTGCTTTCCTTTCCACCTTTGCCTCCTTTCCCTCCTTTGGTATCTTTCCCTTTGAAATCAATCTCATGAAAATCATTTTTTCCATCTTTACCCCCGCCCTTTTTGCTTCCATTGCCCTTGCCGTTACCTTTCTCGTCTTTGGAACCGCCGCGTCCGATACTTGTACTCCGGCTGAGCCACCCTAGCAATCCACCTCCTTTTTTGCCATCTTTGCCCTCTTTCTTATTTTTACCCCCTTGCTTCTTATCCCCACCCTTGCTATTTCCACCGCCTTTATTTCCGCCATTTCCGTCCTTGCCATTCTTCTTTTCATTATTTCCACCCATACCTTTCATTTGCACAGGGAAATCAATTACCCCACCTTTCTTGGCAGACCCTCCCCCACCGCCGCCCCCACCACCTAGCTTTTTGTCGTTCATCACATGCATATTCATCATCCCAGCAGGCCCATGTGGGCCATGCCCATGATTAGCACCCATCATTGGCATCATTGGCATCATTTTCCCATATGGCCCTCCTCCTTGTGGCCCATTTACAATATTACCCATCACCTTGTTCTTAGCCATCTGATGATGTCCATGATCAAGCTCTTCCTCATCATCATAGTCATCATCATCAAACTCATCATCATCGAACTCATCATCAAACTCATCATCAAACTCATCGAAATCGCTACCGTCAAAGTCATCCGCCTCCGGCAGATTGAACTTCACAGACTTCTGGTTCTTCTGAGGCACCTTCATAACATTACCATTGCCTCCTTTCATTTGTTGGTGCTGTTGCTGGTGGCCTCCTCCGCCCTTTTGCGGTTGTTGCTGGTGGCCTCCTCCGCCCTTTGGTGGTTGTTGCTGGTGTCCCCCGCCTTTCGCATTCTGTACCGGCATTGCCATGTTCTTGAACTGGTTGTTGAGCTGGGCTTGATTGAAATTTGAACCCTTTGACCCTCCCCAGAGTTCTGCATGTTTCCCCTTCTTTTCAAGTTTCTTGATGATTGTGTGTGGATCAACATTCCCTGTCACAGTCACCTTGCTGTGTTCTGCATCAATACTTGTTGTGTACACACCTAAACAAGTGACCAAAATTGTGTGTTAGCATAAGTAAATAAACCATTTAAAATTCACACCACTACACTAAAACAATGACAATATTTATGGTAAATTGAACATATTTCGTCTAGCGATATTCAGTTTCTACTAAGCTCACATCGGAGTTGTTACTGAACAAAGAGAAGAATAATATTTGGGTTAGAAAAATGAGAATATGGTAACAGAAGAAAGTACCACAATCGAAAAATTCAAACCATTTTCGAGCCTAAACGCGGCGATCAAAATTGTGTTTTACCCTAAGTAAATAAACCAATTAAAGTTCACACCACTACACTAAAACAATGTCAATATTTATGGTAAATTGAAACATATTTCGTCTAGCGACATTCAGTTTCTACTAAGCTCAAATCGGAGTTGTTACTAAACAAAGAGAAGAATAATATTTGGGTTAGAAAAATGAGAATATGGTAACAGAAGAGAGGAAAGTACCATCAATTTTTTGCAGCAATTTCTTTATCTTGTGCTTGCATCCATCACAGTCAATGTTAACTTTGAGAACACATGTCTGCAAGTAAAATTAATCAGAAACGAACCAAATTAGACTGAGTTAATAACTTACTATATAGATTATAGTAATGAGAAACATAATTAAGAGAAAACAGAAGATAATGAAAAGGGTTCTAAACTAAACTAAACATCTTTGATTTTCAGACCAGTTTTGAGAGAAAATAGTGAAAACTGAAAAGGGTGTGTACCTGAAGCTTCATCACTTCCTGTTTACTCATTGTTTAGAGAGAGAGTGAGAAGAGCAAACAGGTATTCTGCTTGTGAGCTGAGAATATAAAGAGAGGAGAGAGGGAGAGAGGGTGGAGTGAGAAGAGAGAGACAGAGAGAGAGAGTTCAAAGCTGGTTGGTGAGAATTGAACACTTTATCTTTTAACCTTCTCTTTCCCTCTATTCGAGGGTAGAGAGAGAGAGTGTGTGTGAAGTCGGTTTGCTGTAGCTGAAAGACCGCGGCCTGATTTGTTAATCGGATATTTACTGAGCACAGTTTCAGAAGAGGTTTAAATGGTTACACAAAGATTGATGGCAGTTGAAAAATGGTAATCCAATAAAATAAAGGAGGGAAGGGAGCAAGACTAGCTTTTTTTATTTGTGTCTGGAAAACAGTGAAGAAACATTAATCGCTTTGGTCGGCATGAACGGAAAGCGATCCCTTCGGATCTCTTCCACTTAATCATTTTTATTAAATAATTCAGATTTTTGAAATTTGATTTAACGATTAAAAACACGAATTCATTGTAAAAGTTATAATAATTTTAACCGTTTAATCAAATTTCAAAGATCTGAATTATTTGATGAAGATAATTATGTGAAAAGGATTCAGATATGACCCCTAATCGGCATGAACATTGGAAAACACAAAGGAAATACTATTATATTTGAGTCAAGGAAACCCCATTAAGAGCAACTCCACCCATGTGGATTGCTCGGGGGACAGGGGAGAAGAAAGGGCCTGAGGCCCGGTGGACAGTGCTCCAGCCATGGAGAGCCCGAGTGAGGGTGGGAACCCGAGCACAAGGCCCGTGAGGAATCCACCAGCCTGCAGCCCGAGGGCCAGGCATTATTTAATTTTTTTTGTGTTAGCCCGAGGGCCTGCAGCCCCATTTCCAATGTTTTTTTTTATATTTTATATTATTTAAACAAACAAAAAAAAACTAATATTTTATTACATATTGCTAGGGGAAGGGCTCTAAGGGTGGAGATGCAAAAGGTAATTACTGTTCATTAATGGTAGTTACTATTTATTAAAGGCAGTTACTGTTCAATATGGTGGATTCAATAATGAATTGTCAGGGGGAAGTGCTCCAAGGGTGGAGTTGCTCTTAAACCAACTCATACATGAGTTTAGTTTGTAAGAACTGTGTATTTCATGTCTTACCCTAAAGCTTGAAAACATAAAAGATGAAGAGAAATATTAGCAACATTTTCATAATATATGGATAATCTCGTTCTACTTTTTCAACTCTCTTGTTTATTCTGCAATGTTACGCGAGTTCGAGCCGTTATTTCTTAGGTCACCCTTTAAACATCTTTTATGCAAAAAATTGACTATATTTGAAATTTTTTACTTATTTAACGGTTGCCCAATAAATAAACAAAATATGTTTTCCACTTAAGCATTGAAAATTTGAGCATTGAAAATTTGATAATGTTACCTGAATAATTAAATCATTTGTGGTTTAATTGATTTTTTACAAAGAATCTTTAAAATGTGACTAAAACTAAATACTTAAACGATTTATAGTTTGACTGATATTTTACAGAGTTAATCTTAAAATGTGATTTGAAGAGATGATGTGATTCGAGATGAGAATGAGAATCAAGAAAGTAAGATTTGAGTGAGAATGTTGCTTTAGAGAAACCACTGCCCAAACCTCTAACTAACAAAGAAAACACAAAAGGATTGTTAAATATAAGTAAGTAGAATTTAAATGTAGATCAAATGGTCATATACAATAGTGCTCACAACACCTTTAAAGCAGGTGTATATAAAAACAAAAGGCATTCGAAGGGAAGTGCTCTCTTTTCCCCCACTTTCGATCGTTACTACAACCTTAAACACGATTAAGCCATGCATAAACATGATTTGAAGCACTTTCTGTACATTATTAACAAAATAGCTGGAGATAGGTTGGAAACTTGGATGGACACGACTCTGTCTATATTAAGCTCTCGGACAACATGGCTATATAATTGTATGGCACTCAAAAAGCGATTTAACAACTAATATTGGTAGGGGAAGACATGATTAGCCTAAAGATCACTGGCCATGGGTCCTACCCATTTGTCTGGGATCATGAGCCAGGGTTGCAACACTACACTCCAAGGTCTTGCCCTTTAGAATCGGTAGATTCTCTTCGAATTTCTGTGTTTGGAACTTGAAAGTCTGAAAATCTAAATCATTAAAAAAAGAAAAAGAGATCTGAATTCTTAATTTTGTGTAAAATATGTTTATAAAATAAACTAATAATGATCACAAAATTTAAAATAAATAATTCGGATCTTCAATTGCGGACACAAATTCAGACTGAATCTTAATTCCATAAGGGCTCATCAGACAAAATATCTTTACAATTATTTGACAATTTGCAAGTGTCGAATAATGTAACAATTTGGAAGTGTCGAATAATGTAACAATTTGCATGTTTTAGGTCATTTATTTGCATGTGTTTTGATCCCAAAATCATAATTGTGTATGTTTTCTTCTGGTTCGAGATTAAAAGTACCAACGAAATATGTTTGGACCAAGAATATTCAAATATTAATGAATTTAATTAAGCTATTAATGCATTATACAAGTTTGAAAGTGATTACTTTTTAATCTTTTTTTTAATGGGACAATAAATAGCGAACTACAGTTATTCACTCATTTCGTGCTTAGAGAAGGCTAATTGGAAAATGCATTCTATTCGTGGCCATATCAAGCAGATTACTTGAAAGCAGTTAAACGATTAATCTTTTGTTTGTGTTTTCTAAAAATATATAGTGCATTTTCAATTCTTTTCCTTGAATGTTTCGTGGTCCATATCTAACTAATTTATCTATATTCTCCGTACTTCTAAATCAGCATTGAAACATAGGGTAAATGGTGCAAAACTTATTTATAGCTAACTATTTTGGTATGTTATTTCTGTTGCTGTCTTGGTTGACTAAGTAAATGTGTGATTAGTTTGTATGAGATTGTTCAAAGAGGGAGAAAAATTAATATAGGACAAAAAACTATAGTCATTTTTTTATATCTTATATTTACACTAAAAGATAAGATAATAAATTGGTTTCGAACTCATCATCTACAAAATTCAAATTTAAGACTTCTCTCTTTTAAGTGAAGAGAATATGTTATAATTGAGTTTTAGTCGATAATAATTTACAAATGATTAAACTAGTTTGCTAGATATAATTAAATGGTCTATGGACTCGTTTGTAAGTGATTTTAAAATAATTAATTTTTTTATTAAGAATTGTTTCCAAAAATATTTGTAGTAGAAGCGCTTCGAGTCATTTTAAAAATATTTTCAAACGAATGTATTACTTTAAATTTGGAAAGGAAAAAAATCCAACCAAACATCATGAGTATAGGTATATATTTTGTGGTACCGTATGGTACCGTTTGGTACGTGGGACGGGACGGGACGGAACGGGACGAGCCGTTCCGTCCCACGTTTGGTACGCCTAAAAACTATGGAATGGGTTGTCCCATGGGACGAAATTTGGCTGATTTTTCGTTCCACTTCTTCCCCCTGGAACGACCCGTTCCACATTCGTAGAACACAAATTTATAACATTTTATGACAAAATTTCTCCTTATTTTTTTTCATATTTACATCATCTGTTCCGTCTTGTTCCGTCTCTTCTCGTCCCGTCCCGTCTGCGTACCAAACGGTACCTATAATCATGAGGAATTACAGTCGGTACATTTACTTTACCAGCCCTGTCACATATAGTAAAAAAACATATGAATAAAGAAAAGAAAGAGGTTCTCTTTTGAGTAATATCAAGTACAGCAAGTTTCGAATCTTTGAGGGCTTAAACATGATGGCGGCAATAGAGCTTATGCAATTGACAGGTGAGAACTGCTAAGCGATTCTCTTAAAAGTGATTCTTTATAAAAATTTTGTCACTTTATATTTCTTGCATAGGATTTTAACGTTAGTACAAGAATTGACGTTAAATTGCGAGATGAAAAAAAATTATAGAGAGTTCCATGTAGGAAAATCTACTCAGCATTTCTCTTGCCATATAGTGCTGCCATCTTATTATATGGAGAAGGATTATCTCCACTCATATTACCATCTCATTCTCTCACACTCTTCTTTTTGTCTTATTATATATATAAAAAATTCAAAACAAAATCAGATGTGATGTAATCGCAATCGCTTGTGTAGCAGGTCGAACTCGATTGCACTCTTGCATGGTTGTCAGATCGACCATAATGACTATACAAGAGTGAAATTGTTGGGGAATCGATAAGAGTGAAATTGTAGATACACACAAGACCAAACAAACCAAACCATTTTAAAGTTAAACCATCTGGAGACGAATTTGCAGCTGAAGTGATTAAAAGGCATAGAAGTGTAGATTCAAACAAGGCCAAGTAAACAAAGCATTTTAAAGCTAAACCATTTTGCAAAAGACTTGCATTTTGCGAAAAACTTGCATCTCAAGCGGTTAAAAGTGTATACTTTTGCATTTGAGGTTATGTGGTCGAAACTCCCCATTTGGCTTCTATCAACAAAGAGAAAGCTAAACCACCTCAGATGTGAAACAAAAAAAAAACGATATTTCTGAGTACGAACCCTTCTTTTGCAACCACATGATTGCTTGTCCTCCTTAAAAGCCGAACCCGTGAAGAAAATCTTGTCCTCATTTCTTCTTTAGTTTCCCTTTTGTATAAATAAAATAAAATATGAAAAACAGAAAAGAAATACCAATATTCTTGCTTTGTAAAAGATATTTTGAATGGTGACGACAAGCAGCCACCCAAGACACACACCACAAAGTTACAAACCCAAAAACAAACAAAAAATTAACCTTACTAAAATGCTCTATGCTGCATAGGGTATCGCTCACAAAATGGCTTTCGAAACCCAAAATTTGACTACAAATCTTCTTCTCCAATAATTGGAGATCAAAAGATTATGAGAATCGGCGGGTTCGTAATTGTTGAATTTAAGTGTTTTTAGCATGTGCGGTCTTTGAATTGTTTTAAAGATCATATTTGACGTTTTTTTAGGGTTGTGCTATTTATAAACTTATTTTTATCTCTCACACATTCTTTAATTATTTTTGTTCTTTATTATTTTTCAATTTATTTAATTCGACGTTCGAAAATTAAAAAATGCGTGTGAAAGATAAATATGAGTGTGTGAATACTATCACCCTATTTTTAATGAAATTTCTCTTGATTAGCGATTTGGC